GGTCATCAAGGCTAAGATGCAGTATCAGAAATTTTAAATTTATGTCACAGGCTATGCGCCCCACTCCATTATTAGAAGTTCTAGTTCTACCATTATGTAGATGGAGAAATCAAATTATATAAATATAAAAAACCAGACTACTAACCCTGGAAAAGGAAAATAAAAAGTGAAAAGGGATACATAATTCAATTTTTACAGGTTCTAGAAGACAGGATTCTGAACCTTTCTTCCATTGAAGGCCTTCAAATGCTTAAGAAAACATAACCTAACAGCATAAACCAATGAACAATTAACCAATAGTACACAACTTGAAGCTTAAACCATGACAGGCATGGGAATGGTAATTCCTTGATTTTACCTTCGTGAAAAACAGTTTACCGTAGTAGGGAAGAGCAAATAGTCAGTTCAGTTAATTCGGTTGTAGAATTCCAAAATCAGATTTAACCAACTTAATGTATACAAAAACCAAACCAACCAATTAAGTGATTAAAAATTGATATAAACCGAACCAACTTAAGTCGGTCGGTTTAGTCGGTTTTTTCGGTTTGAAAATCCATCGATAATCATTTTCGTTTTAATTTCTTCACATTACTCTGTTTGTTCCTCAAGAAAAAAAAATGAAGGAAAAAGGAATCAACTTTTAAGAACTATAATTTTCTTTTGCTTAATTGGTAAGACAAAATAAGAATCCAATTCAGTAAGAAAAGAGTGCAAATTTTTGGAAAGTTGGTTTTTAGTTCACAGTGGAATTGGCAATGACTGAAATAATGAAAACATCATTTCTAAAATTCAATTCAATTCCTTCTCATTTCCTCCACTTTCGCAGCTACCAAACAGATTATTCTTGATGAAAAGACTAAAAAGATTGCTTCTTGAACCCACACTTCTATCTCTTACTTCCGCCGGCATTGAAATTTTCGATGTAACACCAATCCAAATGCTCAAAAAAAAACCTCATTGAAATTGCTAAACTTGAACCAAAAAAAACTTTAATTTCCACCTAAAGAAAAACAAAATTCATTCAGAATCCAAGAAAAGTATTTCCCCATCCAAAAACCCAATTTCAAAAACATCTAAAAGAATGAAAATTTCAGATACCTAACCATCAAACAAGTTCAAAACCCAGTTCATTCTTTAGTAGTAGTAGTAGCAAAGGCAATGGGATTTGAGACAATACCTTGTGTAATAAAAGAAGAAACAAAAAGAGGGGAAAAGAAAAAGAAGGGAAATGGGAAAACTTTGAGAGGAGAGAAAGGAAAGAAACAAAGTGAAGGCGTGTAGCTTGTGTGGTGGAAGGTCACTCGGGGCGTTTGGCAAAAGGGGAAGGGAAAGGATGAAAGGCTGTTTGGATTAACCATCGTGTGGTGGCTTTGGGCGTCACTGGTAGCTTTTGGCATGATTGTGAGAGGTAGCTTCTGGCATGGTGGAGCCGTGGAGCTCGAGCAGCATTGCAGTAGCGAGAGAGGCATGAGGGAGAATTTTTGATAAAAAGGAAATGAGGTTTTGATTTTAGGGAAACAGAGAGGTGCAAGAGTATGAGAGGCGTGAATTTAGGGTACTGTGTAAGGGTAAAGATGTATTTTACTAAATATGTAATTATTAAAAGTCAATTTATTCGGTGAGTACGGTTTGTAAGATTAAAACCGCAAACCGACAAACTGAACCGCCTAAACCAACTAAACCAGTTAAACCAAAAAAATCGAATTGATTTACTTAAATGCATAATTTTTTTGTAGGCTTTTTAGGTTTAAACCAACGAATGCTCTCCCCTAGTTTACCAAAACTCTGAACATCATATGAATAAAACTCAATTTCTTTGTTCTACTAACTACTAAGAACCGATCCTATAAATTTAAGCTGTTTCATACCATTAGTGTAAACAATAAAAGACATTAGTTTGAAGTTGCAAAAATGTGATTCCAATCAAAACTTTAAACTCTAAACATGTTTCACAAATTATTTAAATTTGGAACTTAAGGCAAAAGAAATCATCTGCCAACACTTTGGAAACCCTAACTGGGAATGCAAACTCGAAAGCCAAATAGCAGAACAACGGCATTAAATAATCAAATGAGTTTGATCTATTAAAATAAACCAAGATAAACAACTAATACATGCTAAAATTCAATATGTTTACCTCCCCAGGTGACTCAATCCAGTTTACCACCAAAAACATAACAGAAAGAACTAAAAAACTCATCGTTGTGATTCAGCAATGAACCAAATCTACCTAATCAAGCAAACCCCCAAATTAAACTAGACGCAAGCTTATGATATTTTACATGCTAAAAGGTAAATTTAGATACCTAATCATCGAATCTAGAACTACAAGAAACACAAATTCGATGCACCAAATGAGAACTAGGATTTATGTCAGATGCAAGAAAGACGAACTAATAAGCTAAAAAGATTGACCCCTTTTTTATTCCTTTTTGCAGATTAGTAAAGCTAGGGTTTTGATGGCAAATTCGTAAAATAATGTAAAGAGACAAGGATTAAACCGGAATAAGAAAACATACGAAAGAGGATTAAGATTGCAAAACAGAAAAAGTGGAGAGTACCTCATAAAAATTAGGGATTTCGAAAAGGCATAGAATGATAGAAAGAAGGGGCGAAATCTATAGAGAGAAATAGGGTTTTAGAGAGAGAACAAAAAAGGATGAGAGAGAGAGACTCGTAGGGGAGAAGGGTCTGGGGCTTTGACTTCTTTTTAGCTTTGGCTGATGATGACGACGATAGCCTCGACCTTCTGTTTCTTCTTCTGCTCAAAATAACTAAAAGAGAAGAGAAATTACGGAGGGATCTACTCGTACATTAAAATTATTAGTGTTTTTTTTCCTATTGTGCCCTCTATCTATTCTCATTCCTCCTAAGAAGGAGGAAATAAAATCGGGGATAAAATGGGAATTAAGTGTTTAAGTGTTCATTAAGTTAATTTAATTGCCATTTCGATTGTGGAGTGCTTGAGCCATACTTTTCAAACTTTGGGTTAAATTAACACATGAACCAAATGCGGCAATCCAAACCCCTAAAACAAAAACAAAATATGTATAATATATTTTTCTGACCTGATCAAATAAGAATCTTACATCAAAGCGATAAGATGGTCTTCAATGAAAAAAATAATAATAATTACTGTAATAATATAATTAAAAGTTGTATTGATGAAATTACATACAATAATAAGATAAGTGTTTGAATATAAATATATTTAAATAATAAAGTAAAGTGTTATGAAAAAATTATAATTAAATATATTATATTAAAACTTATCTATTATATATTTAATAATTTTGAAATTACTAAATAATTTTAAATTATTAAAATTATTTTATATCAAATAATATTTTTGTTAATAAATAAAAAATTAATATAATTATTTTTATATCAAATAATATTTTTGTTATTAAATATCTGAAAATTATTTTTATGTAAATGTTAATGTTATTTAACAATTAAAACCTTTAAAGTTTTATTTGATAAATAGTAAAACATTATTTTAGATTTAAATAATATATTAGGGGTAACAATTTTGAAATTATTATTGAAATTTGAAGTGAATTGTTGTATTTAGAGACACTTTCAACATCTATTTATAATAATTATTTTTATTTCTCAAATGCTTGCCACAACTAATAAATTTGTTTATATTAACATCGTCATTTATTAAAATTTATAATAAAATACAATTTTAACGAAAAAAATAGTTAAAACGTTTTTCATGGCCTTCAATTGTAATGCATACATTCTCTCGAATTTCTAAAATGCTAACCAAATTTTCATGAGTGTTCATCATTTGCTTGCAACCCCAAAAACATTAACTATCAGGTCCCATTATATAACGTAACAGAAATAAGTTTTTCCCTCTTCCTGCAATAGGCTTAAAAACTCTTGTGCCATCATCCTTCAAATCTAACTCAACAACCAACAAAAAAAAAAAAGGTTAATAGGAACCATTACAGCAAAATGAGGTAAATTAACGTACTCATGGACAGTTTCATTGAATTTTTCCTCATCTAGGAACTGTAAAACCAAAAACACCAGCTTCCTACATAAGGAAGACATTGTCCCGGGAAATCGTAGTCACTCTATCTCAAAGATCTAATGTTAAACTAAGAAATTTGTACACTATAACTAACCTAAAAGTCTTACCACGCCAACAAAAACCAACGGTTCATATAAACTCAATGAAATACCCAGAAAATACTTCTTCTTCTGTTCCTTCTACAATAACATTAACGGTTGGGATAGTGACAATTAATGGGGAAGAAGAGAAAAAATATGGAAAAGAAACGGGTATTAGGTTTTTTAGCGAACAAAAATTCATTTAAAGGTCCAATGGAAATGAAATTTTTAACAGAGATAAAATAGTCCACTTGATATATTCATGGTTCACCTGACCTTTTCTATCCAGTCCACCACTGAGACTTCAGCGCGGGCCAAAAGCCAACTGCACCACAAATCACGTTATCCGTACATGATTCATGTGCGCTAAGCCAAAAACATGGCCTAAATGCACCTCCCTGCCACAGTACAATCCAAATGGTCCCAAATATGTCATGGTTTTGGGGCGGTTTAATGCAATCAATATCCAGTACACTTTTCATGATAACATGTATTTTCAAATTGTTATATACATGAAAATACAAAATTTAAGATTAAAAAATTTATAAATTATATGAAACGATTCTTCCATGTTAATATATCTCTTTTATTCAAATCATACTATATAATCACATTTAATATTTACACTACCATCAAAAAGTTAACTTTTAAAGTATACTCGTTTATAAATTTGGTGTTTTTTTCTGTTATTGAAACATACAGTTATTTAAAAGTTCAAACATGGGAACATTTAGAAAGAATATCATCATTTAAACATTTCGCTCCACTTATATACATAAATATATATTCAACGGTTATTATCCAAATGCTATCTTTGTAATTGCTAAACTATTATACAATTTACAACACAATAATTACTTCATTAAATGATAAGAGTGATTTGGAAATATAATCCGTATATATTTTTTGATATACTTTATACAAAACAAAGTATAAACACTTTAGCTTACCATGTAAAACAGGCCTGTTCGCTCCTTCAGACTTCAGAGTTCAGTGTCCAACTAAATGGGCTTAAGTTGGGCCTTTCAATGGAACCCAACCCAAGGGGAAATATTTTGGTGTTCCAACGGGGAGGAGTAAACTACAAACCTACTTTCAGGTATTTTTATTTTTTATTTTCGAAATGCATCATCATCCATTAATAAACTTTCGAGCTGATCATCAGAACCCCATAGGGAAAAAAAAAAAAAAAAAAAAAACTAGTCAAATGTTATTGATACAAAAAGGGGTTTTAATTGGACGTGGCTAAAAAATGTACCAATTGATGGAGAAGTTGCCCAAACTGGCAACCAAACCAAATACAATGGAGCCTCAGTGAAAACCCTCAAAAGTTCTTCGATGCGTAATCATAACATGGAGATATCTAGCATCTGAAAACTAAGAAAGGCATAGAGAAACATTATTTGTCATTGAAGCATAAAATTACTTTAAAAAATTAAAGCTAGTAGAATATAGGTTTTCTACGCCAATGGAATACATTGACTCATTTTTCCTCATTCTATACTACTTAGCACAACAGGAGCTACAGTATATGCAGTAAAATAAGATCAAATTGGATGCTATGTGATTGTATTTCTGAAAGTTTAAACTCACTCTAAAGAGTACAGTTACGCTAAGAAGAGAGAGAAACTTTTAGGTGAGCGGTAACTGTGAAAATGCCAACTTGAAGACACTTATGCCTAAGTACCTTCAGTTAATAATTATGTGATTATGGTAGTGGTAACTGCAAAAATGCCAACTTTAAAATGCTTATGCCTAAGTACCTTCAGTTAATAATTATGGGATTATGGTAATTTCTCTTTCGCCTCCTAGCTTTCCTCAAAATTCGTTCAGTCTCTTCCTTTGCTTGCTCTATCAAAATGTTTGCTGTGTCATCTTGGAGAAACAAGTAAAGTTCGGAAAGATGATGAGAAAGCAATAAGAACCCTTACAGCTGCAAGTAATAGAATTATGCTATCCATCTGCTCTCAATAAACCATGATAAATCATCTGGTAAAAATAGATGTATATATCCAGTTTGCATCAGTTGAAATTAAAAAAAAAAACATAAAGCAAACCCTTTATGATAGATGCTTTACTTTTTTTAAAAGCTTCAGAATGCATTCAACTGGCTTATTAAATTCTTGTAGCAAGTTAGTGTAGTTAACTTTCAACGAATTAGAGTTTGAATTCCATCTGTCTACATACAGAATGCTGGTCATTAGCAGTAAACCGTGTAAATGCTAATTTAAATATCTGGCAGATCACAGGAGTCTTAGTGTCTGCCTCCGTCAGGAACTTTTAATTTAAAAAAAAAAAAAGGGTTCAAAATGATAACTAACAAGAAAAAAGTGAATCATATAATCTAACTCTCTTATGGAGTTGAGTACCTGTTTCATTGCAATCAAGTAAGCATGAAAAGCCTCCATTGATCTCTTCATCTGATTCAATTAAAATTCCGTATGTTTCCTGCATCAGTCAAGCATAAACCACCCAATGCAGTAAATAAGCCAAAATATCCTCAAATATCGTGTAACTCGTAATATCCTTAAATACACCAGCATATCTCCACAGAACAAATGAAGAAGAAGAATAGAAAAGTGGAGGCGAAAAACAAAGCCAAATAAGAAGTAAGAACTACCTGTTCAACAGAAGAAACTCCCTTCCTCTTTTTCTCTTTACAGGTTGCCCTTTCACGTATAGTAGATTGTTTCATTTTCACAGATTTCCAGTCCCCTGATTCAACCTTTGGAGATTGAGTGGGTTGCTCATAAACTTTTGGAGGCACAGCTTGACTAGAAGCAAGAGAATATTTTTAGAATTATGAGAAGGCTAGAGAACTTTAAATTTCAAAAGGAAAAACTTTTTCTTAAATCTGCCTCACAATGAACACCAGTATCCTTCTATTTGGAATTTCAAAATGATAAATTTTAATATATTATATGTGTTATCTCTTAATGAGAGTCAATAAAAAGGAGGAAAAATATTCTATAGTCTAACAGGAGAGCGATGGAGCATATAACTTGTCTGAACAAGCAGAGAAATAACCAAGACTGTATAGTGTGAATATTACATACTTCTTAACTGCCTGAGGCTTGCTTTGTGGAGATGCACAACAGCTGGTAGACTGCATATTCACAAACAAGAAAATTTTACTGAGCAATTTTATTATCATGACATGGCTGCTTACAAAATACAGGATGATACCTTCGGTAGAATAGCAGTAGCAACTGGACCTTTTTGGCTGAGAGTCTTTACATTGCAAGCAATTGATGAAAGTAACTACACAATGAAATCAAAGGCTTTCTGTACAAGATGAGAAGCATGGAAGTATGCAAAACAGAAGTCCAATAAATTTGACAGAAAAAGTTTGTAAATAGGGAAGATTTGGGAACTGTTTGTATTGGGAAAAGGAAATGATGATTGAGACCAGGGAACTGAATGTATCATTTTAAAGTTTAAATGTTCTAAGCGTTTTGAACTTCTTCCTTACAGCATAATACATGCCTTTATTTCGTCGGTGAAGGTGTTGCAAAGCTCATTTCGTAATTTGAGTAGAGAAGCTTCCGTCTGTTCTGGTAATGCAGAAAGCACCAAGAAGATCTGTTGTAATTTGTCTCGATATATATCCATGTTTAGTTGCTCTGATATGGCTTTCATGCCACCATCAAGGCTGGCTTTGATATCTTCTTGTCCCTTGTTCTGTTTACCATATCTCAGTTGTCTTGAAAGTATATATTTATGGATGCTTTTAACAACGAGGCTAGTCAATTTACAAAGTAAAAAGGAGCATAATGATGTGTTGTTACCATTAGCTTTAGGGAGGTATCTTCAGAAATCAACTTCTGTCGTATCCCTTCCACTGAAATAAAAATGATAAGAAACGTCATTTAATGAGATAAGTTCACAGGCTACAAAATTGTTCATTCTTTAGTAACTTCACACTATTCTTCTTTCAAAACAAACCCTACATGATGGAATAAAATACTTCACAAAATCTAAATTAAGGACATTTTTCAGTAGTTGCTTACTGCACTAATGAAGATCAAGTTTCATGACGAAAAATAGTTTTTATTGCCTTATATCAAATTATATTTTTTAGAACTACAGAAGATAGAGCTTCAGTTTTCTCCTTTGTTTCCATATCTTGGATTGACAGGCCAAAAACAATCTCATGCAGACAAACAAGCTAATAATAGTTATAACCATAAATCAATAGGATTTTGTAACCTTAAGGAACTGAATGACTCACTTTCCAGCAATACTTCTTTTGTTCCTTTATTCACTTGCATTACATCACTCTGAACAGAATCCAAGATCATTCCAAATCTATTTAATGAAGTTTCAATCATTGAAAGCCGGCGCTCAAGTTCTTCAGATGTTTGAACTGGTCAGACAAATAAAATATTGAGCATCCATCCATAGCCATAACATAACAAAATGTATTTCAAAAGCTTAATTAAGGTACTCAAAGGAAAGATCACAAACCTGGTTATTCTAAACATAAGCCTTACTTGCACTAATGCGATTAAATAATAAACTTACATCTATGTTCTGGAGCAGAAGCAGAATTCCATTTGCGTATTAGGTTGGTGGAAGGTCTAGAAATTGGCATTTGACTATCTTCTCTTGTAAAGTTGGTTGAAGGCAAGCAAGAAAGCTTCTTCCCAGTATTCTCTCGTTCTTGAGAACAAAATCTCTGCAAAGATGAAGTACAAAACAACAAATTTTTTCCGGTTTTATTGAGATTTACATTGCGAAATAAATGCAGGAAAAAGCAAAGGAGATGAGATTCAACCTGATCAGTTGTCACGACTTCATCGAGTGAGTTCTGTGAGATCTGGGAAAACAAGGCATGTTGAGATGAAATCCCCTGTGAGAATGACTGTTGCGATAGCTGCGATCTAAGCTGTGATGGTTGTGGTCCACTCGGAGCCAGGCTCGATCTCCTTCAGATATATTAGCATAATCAAACAAAGTAAGCCAATTTGAAAATTTAACTCTCAGGTCTTGGATGATGATAATCTTGAAATTGACTAAAGATGATTTTCGTTGCCAAATAAAAAGTCGTATATAAACGTTATTTCCTTAAAAGAAGTACGAAGAAAAAAAATTCCCTCCAGTCAAACAGGTCTTTGAATATTCGAAAGGGAATTGATCTCCTTTAAAAAAAATAAGAAAATTGACATAAATGAACTAGAGATTCGTATTCTGACGAAAACCTATGAAGAAGATTAAGATCATCTCTACTCTTCCATATAGTTTGAGAAAACCGCAAAATAGACTCGATTAAGCTCCATAATTGTATTTTCCTAATAATATCAAACCTTCACGATTGAAATAGTTTAATTGATTTATCATATTATGTATTTTCTCGGGAAACAAATGATGATAATTTGTGTTGAAAACAAACCTTGTATGAGGAGGAAGAACAGAGATGGAGCTGAGATCGCAGGCTTTGTTGATCTTCAACTTCATTTATACCGAAATCGCTGAATCTTTTAGAGAAGGAATTCAAGCCCTAATTTTCCGAAACCCTAAAAAATTCGTTCGGATTTTTCTGTTTTTTTCTCTTTATGAATGTGATCGTTGGATTTTGAATTATCTAATAGATTGAGAAACAGAAGAGAGAGAGAGAGAGAGAGAGAGAGAGAGTTGTCAGTTACAAAAAGAAAAGGCTCTCAGGCGAATGAAACGATGACGCTTAATACGGAGGATGGCGGGAAAGGGTTAAAGGGGACTGAATGTGTTTGGGTCCGGACTCAAGAGCAAATTGACCCAATGCTGGGTCCAACTATTCTATCATTAAGACCAAGCCCGACTTGAGCCCATTTTCAGATTTCTTTTTTTATTTTTATTTTTAATAGCATATCTTAATAAAAAAAAATGACAAACTCTACGTAAAGACAACTTTTATTTTGAAACTTCGGTATTTTTGGATGGAATCCACTTGAGAACATTAATTTGCAATTGAAATTTAAATATATAATTTAGAGATAATTAAAAATTATATTCTTCGATTAGTATTCTAAGCAAAATCTTTTCTAAATTTTAATTTTGAAGATATTGATGGGTTTTATTTTATCATTTCTATAATTTTCGGCTGCAATAGAAGAAGTATGGTCAAAACCGTGGTCTATTACACGTAATCACTCCAATAATATTTAGCATTTAAGCGATTATGTCAAGATAATATTATATGCAATCATCTCATACATTCATTATTTTTTTTAGGAATTTAAGTAAAAATACTAATATATGAGTTATAATATAATTTTTCATATGTTATGTGAGTATATGAAATGAGTGTATTAATTGAATTTATATAAACTTTTTTTCAATTTCATTATCATCATGCAAAATATTGGTTATTGGTGTAGGAAATATGAGTTATTGAAGACTTTACGCCAAAGATTAAAGACAATTACGTAAGATTATTGGATTTTTGACCAACTCTAATCAACCATAAAATCACTCGAAATTTTGGAATTATTAATTATATATTGTTAACTGATTCTGTTATTATTTATTGTCATGATTCAAATAAATATGCTCTAACATCTTATGAAAGATTCTTTTAAGGCATCAATCTCTCTACATCCAAATTAAATTAATAAATTTAAATATTTTCAAAGTTTATAATTATAAGATACTTTGTTGATGTTGTTATAAAAATAGTCTAAAAGAAAGTTCAGACAACAAAATTGTAATTAAATTTTTGTATCATTTTCGTCATATGTCACATTTTTTTTTTTTAATTCTTGTAGTTCACACCAAAATTTTTAAACAATTATAGAGAAAAAACATTGTACCACATCTAAATTTTTATTTTTATATATAATAATATTTTAAAATCTATTTCGATGATATTGAAAATGAACTATGACATGCTTAAAAACGACAAATATATTGTTAAAGTAAATTATCCCACATCTAATAAATTTTTAATTTTTTGTAATCTTATATTCAAGTTGAGCACTTCTATTTACACCAAATTAATTTAAAGTTTGATGTTTAATATGGTATCAGAGTTATAATTTTCTTCTGTTGTCATTTTTAAATCTGTCATGTGATAAGTTTTTTCATCTCCACCTACACGTGATAAAGGCATGTTAAAGTGAATTATCGCTCATCTAATAAATATCAAATATCATGTAGTCTTATATTCAGGTTGGATCCCTTCATTTACAATCAATTGATTTTAAGTTTGATACTTAACCCGATATCAGAGCCAATATTTTTTTCTGTTATCATTTTCAAATCTATTACGTAATAAGTTTTTTTCATCTCCGCCTATATGTGATGAGGCCATATTAAAGCGAGTTATCTCACATTTAATAAATATTTAATTTTTTATAATCTTATATTCAAGTCAAACCTCTCAATTTACAGTCAATTAATTTTAAGTTAGATGCTAAACACGTATGATAACATAACTATCTATTTAATCTAATTTAGAACTTCAACAAAGTAAAAATATTAAAAAATAATAGCTCATTTTCTAAAATAATGCATGAAAAAGGGTTCTCAAGCAATTATTTGATAGCCAATAAATGAATTCTTAGTGAAAGTTAAAATTAAGAGAAAAGAATCAACAAGTGAATTTTAAGCAATTTGCCAAATTTTATTTTTCAACATAATCGTTGTTTTTTTTTTTTCCCTCTCATGAAATATTGAAAATCATTAATAATTTAAAGTTCATTTAATATTTCATCATAGCGTGATATTGTTTAATAAATAAACTTGTAAACGTTCACTGTAAACATAATTATAACGTCATTGGAAATTGTTCTTTCATGATTTTAAATGAACTTAAAAAAAAGTGAAGTATTTTAACCTTTTTAATAAATAAAATGGAGTCGAGTATCTTGTAAATTTATTAACTAAAATATTTATAAAACATGCAGAGATTAAGTAACCAGTAGCAAAAATAGAAAATGTATTTTTTAAATGAAACCAAAACCCTTCAAATATTCTAATATAGAGCAACCGCATTAGATAGTATCATATTATTTTTTATTGCATAGATTAAGGATCTAATGGGTAATTATTTATAAATTATTTTTATAAAAAAGACAATTACCACATATACTACAAACATCGTGAAAATAATGATGGATCATATTAGATTTCAAATATATATCAAATATATTTCAATTTTCAATTTGTTAGCTTTTTAGGTGAGATGGTGATCCAATAGAGGGGATGAATTGGATTTTTTTTAAATTCTTCTCAAACAATGATTTCAATATAGTTAAATGAAAATTAAAACAATAAGCACTTTTGATGAAAATATAATGCAAACAATAACAATTAATGAACCTAAAATCAAATATAAACAATAATAAATTGTAAGGAGATAGGAATAGAGAAATCAAACACAATGATTTATAGAGATTCGGTCATTCTCCACAAAGCACCTACGTCCTCTCTTATTGGTTGTCCACACCAAAACTTCAATCCACTATTCTTTAAATTAAAAATAAAATCTATCTTTTTCTTTCTAAGACTTAAGATAGAAACATCTACCATTTGTAGTATTTTACCCAATCTTACTACAAAGCTCTTAAAAGGATACCTCACTTATTGTTCTCTTCTACCTTTGTATATCAAAGGTAATTTTGTAAACAATAGAACAACCTCTTTAAGGCTAAGTGTTTGCTAAGTTTAAGTACAAGAAAATGATGAATGAACAACAAATATAATTTGGATACAATAAATACAAAGATACAAACTTTAAAGCTCTAAAAACTCTTGATTATTTGAGAGAATAAAAATATAGCTTATTAGCTCTTGCTCTCTTGATTCATCAATCTTCTTGGTGTGTTGGAGTGTCCAATTTATAGAAAATTGAAGAAGTAGCCATTGAGAAAGCTTGAGAAGTGAAAGTAACCATTGAATCCTTGATAAAATAGCCATTAGAGATGTCTTTGCCTAAACCCAATCGATCCCTTTCATGAAGGGATCGATTGGCTCATGTTTTGAACCAATTTATGCTTGAAAAGAACCTAACCGATCGATACCTTTATGTATGAGATCGATTGGTTAAGCAGGTGATCGATCCCCTACTTAAGGTGATTGATCACTTCTTCATGTTTTTGACCCAAGGAACTTTTGTATAAAAAATCAATTGATCCCTTCTATAGGGGATTGATCATGTCCATGCTAGGTGGTAGTCTCCTGTTTTGTACTCTACTTACTAATTTAATCATATATTGAGTTATACAAATCCAAATCACAAACCGTTTGAAGATTTAGAAACTATACTTAAAGAAATTTCTATCCATATAAAGTTCATCACCTAATTCATTGTGTATGAATTATAATAAATTTTCAAATATACCTCTTATGCAGTTTTTAGACATCTACAGAGTGTCTAGTAAAAATTCAAAATCTTTTCTTAAAAAATTTAGATTTAGATTTTGTTTAATCAATTATAAAGTAAACTCAAAGAGCTTTCCAATCATATAAAATTCAAATATTAAAACTTTATGAATTAATACAAAAAAATAAAATAAATTCAATGTTAGAAAACTTTGTTCTTGTAAAACAACATTCTTAAGCTAATATATTTCTCAAAACCAATATTATCAAAATTATATTAAGTCCAAAATGAATGAGTTTACTTTAAAAACAACAATTGAACTTTTATTTAAGCTCAAATAAATAATCTTTAAAGATAAAATTGGTTTGAGAAATATGAAAACAAAGAAAGGTTTGTTTATACTTTGAAAAACATATTATTTATTTAGTACCAAAATATAAAATTTAAGAACATGTACTAAATAAACCTTTTTCAAAATCTTGATCAAGCTTATTTAACTTAATATTTTGTCATTTCAAAATAATGATCAATTCAACGCTAACAATCTATCTCTTTTTGATATGACAAAACTTAAAGATAAATTTGCTTGATGAAAAATTTTCTTTGAAACATTTAAGATTTTGAAAGACATTTTGAAAAACTCTCCCATAAACAATACATGGTAAAACTTTCCCTTAATTTATGCATCCTAATCCAACACAACTCACCAAACATATGTTAGAGCATATATATCAAATAAGCACAATCAAACATTTTCATGTCAAGTACAAGCAAATTTATCCATATGATATTTTTTTCCCTTTTGTCATAGCAAAAAGACATGAGCATATTAATAAGCAAATAAACACAAAAAATGCATCATTTACAAATATATTCATGAAACATTTTTTCTCTCTTTTTGTTTATGCTCTTTTATACCAAATGTTTAAGCTCATATATCAATTGCTATAAGCATACAAGAAAAAATATTTCTAAACTCTCTCTTTTTTTTTTTTCATTTCAAAAGAAAGATAGGTCAATTCAAGGCATAAGACAAAATGCTTGATACCAATAATATCAAGAGTATTTTGAATGTATGTAATCAAGTGTAATATGCACAATAAATTTCACATACATGTATTCAAGCATAAAAGCATAAGTGTATCTAATTTTAGCATTTTGGCATAAGTCATCAATTTTACTACATGAAATTTATGAGCAAAGGATAATGAATGATATGCAATCTACTCATAAATCATATTATCATAAGATGTGCTTAGAACCTAAAACATCAATAGCAATTAAGCAAAATTTAAGTACATACATATAAGCTTATA